GCTAGAGAAGCTAGGATGTAGAGATGAGGAGTGATATTACAGGCATGGGAGCAGCCAGGGCAACTGCGTGAAGTCTGGAAATTGAATGTTATTTGGAAGGATTGTCAAGTTGACCTGTGTAAGCTGGATTGTAGAGTGTATGGAGGAGGGATTAAAATGTAAGAAGTCTGAGAAAGGAAGGGGCCAAGTTGTGAAGCACCTTACGTGCTAGAAAAAGGACTTTATATTTGATTCTGTAAGTCATTGGGAGCCCCTGGAGTTCATTGAATAGGGTTTGACATGGTCAGACCAATGTTTTAGGAAAATCATAGTAGCAGTTGAGTGGTGGAAAGATTGGAGTGGGGAAAACACTTGAGGCTGGGAGACCAATTAGAAGGCTTTTGAAATGGCATAGACTAGAGATAAACAAGATTTGAACTAGGGTTGTAGCTGTTGGCATGGAAAAAAAAGGAAAGTTATGAAAGTAGAAATGACAACATTTGGCAGTGGATTAGATATGTGGGTTGACTATCAATAATGAGTCAAGAATGACATTAAGATATCAAACCTGAGTGACTGAATATGTCATTCTAGAAATCTGCATAAAGTTGATCTTTGAACATTTGTGAGCTGATGGGATCATTAAACACAATTGTACAAAGGAGAAAAGGGAAGAGGGCTTAGGTTACAGCTTTGGGGGACAAACAAAGTACCTGGGATTATGTAGTCAGGATTCTATAATCTATATCTTAAGAATTCTTTGGGTTGCTAGTTTTAAAAGTTTTCTTTTGATGATTTTGATTGTTATGTTTCTTTTTGGTTGTTTTTAGAATTCAAATGCATTATTGTTTCTACTATACCATGCTGCCTTGAGTCAGATTTGACCAAATTCCATGTGGCAAAACTTGTACTAGTTTAATTTTTGAATTTCTCCTGTCTTTTCTCAATTCTTTTGAAAATGAGCATTTTCCTATATCTGCTTAACATTATAAAGGGAGCAAAGTCAAGAAAATATAACTTTAATTTGCATTTCTGTAATCAGTAGTGATTTAGAACATGACTATAGATAGCTTTAGTTTCTTCCTTTGAAAACTGCCTGTTCTTATCCTTTAACCATTTATTAATTGGGGAATGACTTGTATTCTTTTTTTAAAATTTAATTTATTTTGAATTATCAACAGCCACTTCCATAAGCTTTTGAGTTTAAAATTTTTCTTTTCCTCCCTCCCCAAGACAGCACACAATCTGATATAGACTATACATATATGTTCCTATTCAACATATGTTCACATTAATGATGTTGTAAGGAAGAATTAGAACCAATAGGAGGAACCACCAGAAAGAGGAAACAAAACACAACAGAAGAAAAAAAATAGCAAATACTATTCTTCTATCTGCATTCAAACTCTATAGTTCTTTCTTTGGATGTGGATAACATTTTCTATCACGAGGCTTTTGGAGATATCTTAGATCCTTGTATTGCTGAGAAAGATTAAGTCTGTCAATATTAGTCATCACACAATGTGGCTGTTACTGTGTACAATGTTCTCCTGGTTCTGCTCACTTCACTCAGCATCAATCCATACAAGTCTTTCCAGGTTTTTCTGAAGTCAGCCTGTTCATCATTTCTTATAGCAATAGTATTCCATTACATTCCTATATCACAACTTGTTCAGCCATTCCCCAGCTGATGGGCAACCTCTCAACTTCCCATTCTTTGCCACCACAAATGAGCTGCTATAAATATTTTTTGTACATGTGGGGTCCTTTTCCCATTTGAATGATCTCTCTGGGATATAGCCCTAGAAGTGCTATTGCTGGGTCAAAGGGGATGCACAATTTTATAACCCTTTGGGCATAGTTCCAAATTGCTCTCCAAAATGGTTGGATCATTTCACAACTCCACCAACAATGCATTAGTGTTCCAATTTTCTCACATCTTCTCCAACATTTATCATTTCCCTGTTTTGTCATGTTGGTCAATCTGATAGGTGTGATGTGGTGCCTCAGAATTGTTTTGATTTGCATTTCTCTAATCAATAGTGATTTAGGGCATTTTTTCATATGACTATAGATGGCTTTAATTTCTTCATCTGAGAACTGCCTGTTCATGTCCTTTGACCATTTATCAATTGGGGAATGACTTGTATTCTTATAAATTTGACTTAATTCTCTCTACGTTTTAGAAATGAGGCCCTTATCAGAGACACTGGTTGTAAAAATTCTTTCTCAGTTTTCTGCTTCCCTCCTAATCTTGGATGCATTGGCTTTGTTTGTGCAAAACCTTTTCAATTTAATGTAATCAAAATTATCCATTTTGTATTTCATAATGTTCTCTCTATCTCTTGTTTGGTCATAAATTCTTCTCTTCATAAATCTGAAAGGTAAGCTATTCCTTGTTTGCTCTTCTAGTTTGCTTATAGTATCAGACTTTATATGTAAATTGTGTACCCATTTTGGATTTATCTTGGTATAGGGTATAAGATGTTGGTCTATGCCCAGTTTCTGCTATACCTTTTTCCAGTTTTCCAAGCAGTTTTTGTTAAATAGTGATTTCTAATCTCAGAAGCTAGAGTCTTTGGATTTATCAAATAGTATATTAGTATAGTCATTGACTTTTGTGTCTTGCATACCTAACCTATTCCACTGATCCACCACTCTATTTCTTAGCCAGTACCTAGTAGTTTTGATGATTGCTGCTTCATAATGCAGTTTAAGATCTGGTATGGCTAGGCCTTGTATTTCTTTTCATTAACTCCCTTGATATTCTGGACTTTTTGTTCTTCCAGATGAATTTTGTTACTGTTTTTTCTAGCTCTATAAAATAATTTTTGGTAGTTTGATTGTTATGGTGCTGAATAAGTAAATTAATTTAGGTAGAATTGTCATTTTTATTATATTAGTTTGGTCTACCCATGAGCAACTGACCATATCACACCTATCAGCTTGGCTAACATGACAAAATAGGACAATGATAAATGTTGGAGAAGATGTGAGAAAATTGGAACACTTATACATTGTTGGTAGAGTTGTGAAAGGATCCGACCATTTTGGAGAGCAATTTGGAACTATGCCCAAAGGACTATAAAATTGTGCATCCCCTTTGACCCAGCAATAGCGCTTCTAGGGCTATATCCCAGAGAGATCATACAAATGGGAAAAGGACCCACATGTACAAAAAATATTTATAGCAGCTCTTTTTGTGGTGGCCAAGAATTGGAAATTGAGAAGATGTCCATCAATTGGGGAATGGCTGAACAAGTTGTGATATATGAATGTAATGGAATACTGTTATGCTGTAAGAGATGATGAGCAGGCTGACTTCAAAAAACCTGAAAAGACTTACATGAACTGTTGCAGAGTGAAATGAGCAGAACCAGGAGAACATTTTACACAGTAACAGCCACATTATGTGATAACTGACTTTGGTAGACTAGGTTTTTTATAGCAATGCAAGAATCTTAAGAAAACTAAAACTAAGAAAACAATAGAAATTGCTGTCCACATCCAGAGAAAGAACTGTGGAGTCTGAATGCAGATGGAAGCAAACTATTTGCTTTCCTTTTCCTTTGTTGTTTTGTTTTATTGCTTCATTCTTATGGTTCTTCCCATTAGTTCTAATTGGTTTTTATGTCATGACTAATGGTACAGTATGTTTGATATGAATATAAATAGATCCTATATCAGGTTACACGCCCTCTGGGGCAGGACAAAGAAGTGGGAGGGAGAGCAAATTAAAAACTAAAAATATTATGGAAGTGAATGTTGCAAACTAAAAATAAAATATCAAGGCAAAAAAAGAAAATATAACTTTATTTTTCATAATATAAGTTAAGTGTTGCACTGTCTTTGCATCATTCATTTCTAAGGAATGGGGGGAAAAGTACCTTCCTTTCTTCCTCCTCCCCATTTAACAGATGCTATCACCACAACTTATGACTTATAGCATTCTTGTAGTAATTCCTCATCACTTCTGTATAATAAGGAGAGAGATATGTTTAATTATCTCTTTTTAAGTACTTTTCTTGGTTTTTTAACTTAAAGTTTGACTTTTTTTTAGTACTCTTTTCCTTCATATTGTTGTAGTTATGTATTTTATTTTTTGGTTCTGTTTATTTTGTTCTTTATCAGATCTTCACATGTTTATCTGAATTCCTCAGATAATTTCTAATTCCACAATAATGTCCCTATTACGTTCAAATAACTAGCTTTCTTTGTCCATTCTCCTATTGATGGGCACTTTTTTTTGTTACCACAAAATGTGGTGCTACAAATATTTTAGTGAATACTATATTTTTGTTTTTATTTTTGATGTTGTTGGGGTGCGTGATATAAGCCCACTAGTGGAATTGCTGGGCCAAAGAGTATAGACAGCTTAGTAAATTTTCTTGCATAATTACAAATTGGTATGTAACTGCAGTTGAACCAACTGCTATTTCATCATTGTATTAGAGTGTCTGTCTTTCACAGCCATTCTGTCTTAATAAAATCTTGGTGGGTCTTTCATGAAATCTTTACTTCTTATAAGCTGGCAAAATACAATACATATGTGTGTATGTAAGTCTAAATTATATTAAGGTAGAAAATGAGAAATATAAACACAGTGTCCTAGGAACATTTGTGAGAAGGAGCAATCATGTAATTTTCTTTAGAAAGTTAAGTCTAGTGAACACTTTGGATTTGTCATATTTTCAGGATAAACTATTTTCTGTTTCCATTAAAGATGGAATTAGAGTTACTGAATTTCCAAAATGGTAGAAGAGAGTTAAGTTTGACAAGAAAAATTTTCCCAGAATAAGATCATCTGGGAAGCCAAAGGATTTACTTCTAGAGGTCTATTCCATAATGTTGACTTACATTTTGGTAGTTATTATACAGTACCAACAACTTTAGAAGAACCAGTTATATGTATTGGTTACGTATTGCATAAAAAAACAATTTTGGAATTCCTGGAGACAGAAATTAATCTTGAAGTATTGTCTACTTTCTGTAATTTATGTCATAAATTCTATTTCTTTTAGATCTTAAAAAAATAGTTTCAGAAGCAGCCTTTGGACTGGAACCTGAGACAGGAGAAGCTGTGTACCATGCATTAGGATACTGAAGAGAAATAATTCTAGAATTAAATAGTTGTTTGGATTGTAAAGAAGAAAAGGAGAGTGCAAAAATGGGGCGGAAGAAAATACAGATTACTCGGATTATGGATGAAAGGAACAGACAGGTAAATAAGACGGTTGCTTAATTATTTAATTAAAAGCTTTTATTGTAACATAATTATTTTATCTTACATTAAAATTTTATTTTAGCTGTGAATTCTCGGGGATTTTTTCACCCACGTGTAAATTAAAAACTTCCCAAGTATTATGAATTTTTGAAAGTAAGACTGAATGTGTCTTTAACAATAAAAAAAAAACACCTTTTGCTTCTTTTTATTCTGTATTAGATGTTTTCAGTTTGAAGGTGTTACAGAGCTCAGTTTTATTTTGTCTTTTAAACAAATCGTCTATTAAAAGACTACCTTTTATATAAGTCCTTGCCCTGTAGTCTCTAATGCCTCTGCCCAGCTACCCTGTATTTATTTTATAATTACATATGTAATATACACATGATACATACATACGTCTCTTCTAATAGAATGTAAGCTCTTGAGGGCAAGGACTGTCCCATCCCCTATTCTTAGAGCATAGTAGATACTTAAAAACACCTACTTATGATTGATTGAAGAACTCACTTTTCAGTGGAAAAGCAAGTATATCTTTTTAGGCTTGCTCACATTAAATATGATGATGCTTGATTTATCTTCTATTATTATGCAATGAAGCTTTTTACATGTTAGTTTTCTAGATAATGTAAGTTTATCCTTCAAGCACCAAAACCGTTTTTAATTTGGATACCTGTCTTTATAAAATTATTCACTCTTTTGTCCTGTTAAAAAAACCAAAGTGCTGAAATTAATTTCCTCTTTTCTTGATGACTGTCACCATTACAAACATTAGTTTTTGTGCTTTATATGTCCTCAAGGGTAATATCAAGATGTTTAAGACTGATTGCCTTTATAAATAACCTCAAGTGATACCACCTTTTTTTTTTTTTGGTCACAGGCATTTTTATTAACAGACCATTAGAAAAATAATCGTGGTAGAGACCTTTAGTTCATTCTTCTAATAAGCCTGTTGATCTGGTCTTTCCTGTTACCAGCATCTCCACCTTTCACAAAATGTGTAACCTTCTTCTTCATTCCACCTCGTGGAGAACATAATTTGAAGGGCCACAGGAAGTTGTTGGCAGCTTTGAAGTGCTTGCCAACAGTGTAGATCTCATGGATCTAGTCCTCCATGCAGATAATTCCATATTTACCAAGAGATTTTGCAGTAAGGGCATTATCCGTCAGGGCAATTCTCTGTTTCTTGATCTTGCCATAACCACGTTTGTAAATCAGGTCATTCACAGACTTCAGGTTTGGGTAACCCCATGCAATGTATGGTTCCACAATCCGCAGCATGTTAATGGAAGCCTTGTTAAGCTTAACAAAAGTGCCATTGAAGATCTGGCAAAGATGAAGAAGCTGCAAAGCTTTTCGGACCTGGGCTAACACCATTGATACCTCTGATTCTGATCACAAAAGCTAACTTGGGTTCAGCAGGTACATAGTAGTTTCCAGTTCTGCGTGCCATTCTAGCCAGCCGGATTTCATTTTTGTACATCTGTCTGTACTCTTTATGGTAGGCTTTAGCTTTTTCATAGATAACTTTCCTTCGTATTTTACGAAGCTTTTTTACAGCCATCTTCTTCTTTAGGTGTTTGGCCTTCAGTATTGCAAAAGCCTTTCACTTTTTGAAAAGGGATTCTGGAACAGATGGTAGTTTCTTCTTTTCTTCTATGCCTGCCATGATTCCAGCTGGAAAAAGAGCTGATACCACCTTTTTTAAAGCTCACTTTTTAATTTCTTTTTTTTTTAATATTTTTTTAACCACTGGTAGCCATAATCTTTAATTTTTTGCTACAGTTGGTGTTGTTTCAATATTAGCAGGTCCTGCCTTCCAGTTTTGAGATAGCAATCTGCTATGAGCTGGGAAAACATAGCCAAATTTGTTAGTATCTAAAGTAAATAGGCCATAGGTAAGGATTTAAGTGAGTTAGACCTTTATTATTAACATGCATGAGCTTTAGTACTTGTACCTTATATTCTTTCTTTTGGATTTTTGTGTATTTTTTGGCTCTCCAACTATTTTTTTTGTATTTGAGGTTGCAAAGTAAATGACTTCTAAAAAGTCAAATGCTTTATTAAAATTACTAAGAAAGAATTCTCTGTTTATTGAATCACAATAGGGGTATTATAGCGTCATTACTTTTAGTTACACAACAGCTATACTTCGGGTAAATAAGAACAAAAGATCAGAAATTTTGCAGCAAAGGAACAGAGGTATTGGCAGTGCAGTGGCTAGAGTGCCAGCTCTAGAGTAGGAAAGATTCATTTTCCTGAATTCAAATCCAACTTCAGACATTTCTGAACTGTGTGACCCTGGACAAGTCACTTAACCCTATTTGCCTGAGTTGCTTCATCTGTAAAATGAGTTAGAGGAGAAAATGGTGAACCACACCAGTATCTTTGCCAAGAAAACCCTAACAGAGATCATAAAGAGTTGGACACGACTGAAAAATGACTAAACAACAACAGAAGCTATTACTGTTGACTAATAGTTATTCAGAACTGATGCCATCCAGCATTCTCTTACACGGTAATAGTTTCTAAGAATATAGTTGTGATAGAAGAGAAAGAAGAAATTTAGGGGTCATATAGGTTTTAGAACTGAAAAAGGAATCTGAAAGATCATCTAGTTAAAGGGTTCTTAACTCTGGTCTGTGAACTTTTAAAAAATATTTTGGTAACAGTTTCAATATCATTGGTTTCCTTTGTAATCCTACATATTTTATTTTATGAATTTAAAAACATTTTCCTAAGAAAGGGTCTATAGACTTTATCAGACTGTCAGAGGGGCCCATGATGCAAAAAAGGTTAAGAACCCTTGGTCTGGTCCACCTCTCTCATTTTATAGATGGAGAAAAAAAAACTTCAGAGAAGTAAGTTGACTGGTAGTAAATAGTAGAATTTAATGACCCTGTTTATATCCAAATCTAGTATTCTTTCTACTAAACTATGGTTCTCAAAGTATAATGTGTAGACCTTTGAGGGTCTCAGACCCTTTCAGGGGATCCACAAGCTCAAAACTATTTTTGTAATAATACTTAAGATATTATTGGCTACTAAAATTACTTTTCCTCTTTCCAACTACACATCTGTGAAAACTGTCTTCCTTTAAGCGAGACATTAAAGAGACTTGTATGAATTTTTTTTCTTTTGAAAAATATAGTAAGTTTTTATTAAAATGTTATTTATTAACGTGCAATGAATGGGTATATTATTGTTGTTTAAAGAAACTGTTTAAAATTTTTATCTGTTCTAATTTCCAACATGGTAAATATCTATAATCCACGTGAACAAAAGATCTTTGGAGTGCTCAATAATTTTTGAGTGGAAAGGGTTCTTGAGACCAAAAAGTTTGAGAACTGCTATACTTAAAAGACCACCACGCCTTAATCAATAGAACACTGGACTTAAACTCAGGAAGACCTGGATTCAAATCCTTCTACCAGATACTTAATAAATCTGTGATCCTGAACAAATTGTGTAATCTCTTTGCCTCAGTTTACACATCTGTTAAATGAGAAGGATGGACCTTTTGTAGTCCCTTCAAGTTCTAAATTTCTAATTCTTTTCCATTTCCAAATACTATCATCTTTCCTCCGTACTATACTTCTATAGTGGTCAAAATTTTTGAGGGGGGTATTGAGTGAATATGAGATATGACCTAATGTAATCTTTGAGGAAGATGTATCAGGCAGCAGAATGTAAGGGTTGATTGGAGTTAGGAAAAATTTGAAGCCACTCAGGAAACAATTTTAGTAGTCTGTGTTAAAAATATTTTTATTTTCAGTTTTTCAGAGACTGGTGTATTTTATTTCTCACAACCATACACCAGTAAAATATTGATGTTAAAAAGATGGGCTTTGGTTTCTGAAATTTGAGAATCATTAAAGGAGTTCTTCAGTTTTCTGAAAACTATCCAGCTCACTGTCTTCTTCCTATTTAACTCTGGCTCAGCTTGTTGACCATTTGTATTAACTGTGTCAGATATGAGTTCAAAATTATAAATATGTATGTTTGTATGTATATACATATATAAATGTATGTTCGTGTCTGTGTACATATATACATCTATGTATCTATCAATCAATATCTCTTTCTCTTTGTCAGTGGACAAAGGATGGGTTGTCTATCCAGCTGCCTGTCAGGCAATAAACAGTATAGGCAATAAACATTCTTTATTCATTTGAGCTTTTTTCTGTGGGTAATGGGGTCAGACTCTTGAGTCATCAGGGATTTCTTCTAAGGACCTTGAAGTATTCTAGTAGTATTGCTGTGTGGTCACAAGACATGAAAGATAAGTGTTTTTTGAACTGATAATAGGATGTGATAGTTTGTTTTCAAGTGCCAGCTATACTCTAGTGTGAGAATTACTTGGGAGAAGCACTAGTTTTGATAAGATTACATTTTGTGACAGCAGTGGTCATAACCTGTGTGCTTTTTCTGACACTTGGCTAACTCAAAATGCCTGACCTTTACCAGATGAAACTTGATTGAGCTGGTTTCCCCACTGTTAATTAGTTCTGTATCATATGAGTGCTGGATTTCATAACTTTTGTTGTGTTTTAAATTCTGTAATATTAAAGAGTACATCTTCCCAAAAAAGTACAAAAGTTAGAGCTCTTCAGGAGCACATTTCAACTGTATATATGGCAGCAGCTGTTTGTGTTAGGGAGTTCAAGCATTTCAAAGATCTTTTAAGCCCATAGTGAAAGATCTGTTAAACCACAGTGCAAAGGAGAGTGTGGTTCACCAGCAAGAACTGACAAGCTACATCCCGCAAAACAGCCTAATTAATCCTCAGAAAACAAACCTGGAAGCTTGAAAAGGGTGTTAGTGATTACAGTGCAGCATAGGCTTCTTGCAGTTGCAAGAGTATTGACAAGAATAGTCAATAAATAATTGCTTATTTGCTGTGAGAAAAAAATTGCTCATCATGAGCAAAACAAGACCAAATTAGAGTGGTAAAAGATGGTTAAAAGTAATATATGTTAACTGTAACTGTTTTCAGAGGA